AGCTGAAATTTTAAGGGGGTGCTTCCTGCCAGTTTTGGCAGCTAGTCTTAATTTGTTTAGCTAGAAAGATCTGCCGAAAAAAACCGATGCCGGTAGCGACAGAAGCTGCGGGGAGCAACGCAAAAAACGCATCATCGCACGGACAGCCCGTGCGTTGGCCAATTATTGGATTGCGCATTCGATCTTTGTAGAAAATGAGTTTGGTTTGGCATAAATAAAATAAGTACTGGATTCACTTCTAAAAACTCTGGTTGCTTAAATTTAAAGTAGATGACAAAAAGCTAACATATTCAGATACAAATGCACCCACAGATAACCACCTGCCAGTATGCGCTTCTCAATTTACATAGATACAGAAAAATGCATAAAAATTTTTCCTGATATTTATGAGTGAATGTTTTCGGATGTTTGTAAGCAGAAAGTTTTTCGAATTTTTGCAAGCAAAAATTTTTTTGGCGCACGAAACAAAACATGCCCTGAACGTTTCAAATTCTAGGAAGAGGAAAATTTTGTAATTTGAATTTTTTAGCGAAAGCTGGATCGCGAGCTGCAATCCGAAAAACAGTTTGTTATCGAAGTTCGAGCGACTGACAAAGGCGTACCACCTCTTGAAGGTAAGCAATAAATTTTCTGGATCCAAAATTTAGCGGTTTTTTAATTTTCGATATTTACTCAGTTTCGGCCGTTAATTTTATTCTATTCCAAAATTCGAGACTTATTCGATTTTTAGATTTAAAATTCATTGGTTCCAGGATTTGAAACTTAATAGTTTCAAGACTCACTGTATATTCAGTTTCAAGATCCGAAAGTTATACAGCCCAAAAGCCTAATTCATTACTTAACTAAAAAATCTGACTTTATTAAAAATTTCTTTAATTTAATCGCTTGTTTTAACACCGAGCATCACAAAGAGATTGAAGTCACGTGTTTTTGCAATTGCCATTACAAATATGTAGGGGTTAACAGGTCAGTGCAAGAAAAAACTATACTCACTTCAAAGTATGCTTACGTATTTTCCTTTCTCTAATTCGTAATTTGTTAGATTTCGAAAACTTAGGCAAATTACTTTTTTATTGTTTACACACGGTGCAAAATTAAAAAAGATGAGGGTACAGCTGATTCTTAAAATTGATATTATATTCCTTTATAGTGCCGGAGGCTCGTATTCCTCTGCACTGGCGGAGTTACGTAGAAAACTTGTCCACTACTTAGCTATTCGAATTTCCCAAGCTGGGTAAAATGGCACTTGCCATAAGAACCTAAATTACGTGTGCACTACGTAAGTCGAGCTTGTAGGCACGAATCTGTAAAAAAACATCTTCCACGAGATTATTTTTGTCTGGTTGGTGCCAGACATTCAAAAACTTCGTTCAGCAGTTCTTAAAGCAGCAAGTAATACATCGTACGGGCAAACTCACCTCTCACATTTTCTTAAGAGACGTATCATCGCTAACTGCCTTATTTTTCAGGAAGAGGAAATGTGACGATTCGTGTTACGGATGTAAACGATAATGAGCCATATTTCAAGAAAAAGCTTTATTTCGGATCAGTAGCCGAAACAGCACCAGCTGGTTCGCCAGTAATGAGTGTTGCCGCCCAGGATAAAGATAATGAAGCAAGGTTAGCTCAAAAAATTAGGATTCATGGAAAAAAAATTTAAAAAAATAGAAAACTAAATTAAAAACCATTAAAAATTTTAAAAATTGTAGGAAATTAAATTCAAAGGCCAACTTTGGCCGTCAAAAATTTTCGTTAAACTCTCTGAAATGCTTTGTTTCCAAAAGGATTTGTCAAAGCCTGAAAAAAAATTTGAAGTAAAAAAAAATAAAAATTTGCAACTCTTGACTAAACGTAAAGAATTTCGAAGATCATTTAATATTTTTCAGGGACAACATTTTTTCATATGAGTTAATGGAAGAAAACCAGTATTTCTATATAACAACTGAGGTTGATCCAGGCAGCTCAAGTGTTGGAGTGCTTCGGGTCAAAAAGGTCAGTCCCATCCCATGAATTTTGTGTCAAGAGCAGAGCAAGATGTGAAATTAAAAATAAACATTACAAAAATTATCAGCAAATTACTGAAATTAAAAAAATTGCCGAAAAACATGCTAATAAAAAATATTTATTTGTAGAGTTATGTAAAAATTGTAGCTTAACGCAGCGAAGTAATCTTATAATATTGGATTATTTTCGAATTCTATCGAGTCCAAATTATTTTAGTTTTGTATGAAATTATATTAATATGTTTTGTGCTCTAAAGGTTCCCCATCAATAATTTTTTATAACAAATATGAAATATCTTTTTCAGTTTCTTGGTAGACATTGTTTTTTCAATAAATTTGTAAAATCTTATTTGTTACTTGTTTTTTTTACAATAAAACTCTAGAGGGAAGAGTAAAAAAATGTTTCTAAAATTAGGAAAAAAGATAAAAATTTTTGTTCCTGGTTCTCTTTAAACTTTGAAGGCCTTAAAAGCCTTTTCACGATGCGACTTTATTTTCGTTTTCTCGTTGTTTTTATTGCAAAAGTTCAAAATGCTTTTCAGGATTTTTCAGTTTTTCAGGAGCAACTTTTCTTCCGGCCGTAAAATTAGCTTCCAATTTTTCCATTTTCCTTCCAGGCGTTCCTCTGTTTTCCAAATGTCTCTCTTTCAAAAACACTATTCAAGCTTGCACATACTCATCCATGTAGATGATTAGAAATTACGTGTTTTCGAATCTCAGAAACCTACTGAGCCGAAGAAATTTTGTCTCCTGTTCAGATTTGTTTACTCAGCTTGGATTTTCTCGAATACAGTTTCAGCTTGCTGAGCCAGAAATGTAGATCCGTCCATCCTGTCTTTTCCTTCGCTGCAAATTTCTTACTTGATTTTCGGGCAGCAAATTACAAAAAATTTGCGCTTTTTTTTCAAAAAACAGGGCAAACCCAGTAAAATACATGCATATAAAGCATGCATTCACGAGCTTCCAAACGCACTAATATCCGAGATTCAACACCAATAATCTGCACTTATTAATTACGTAGTTTTCAGTCAGTTAAAATATTATTGTTAAATTTTCGAAAATTTCATACTTTTTTGAAAATTCAATAATTGTGTTTTAATCGATTGAGAATGAATGGACTGTTTCCACAAAATTTCCAAAAATTTCCTTTGTCAAAATTTTCATAGGACTAATTTCACTTTCATATGGATTTTGACACGTTATTCTTTTTTTATCCCTCAAAAAATTTTTTCCGCAGATCTATCTGAAAATGGATCCCCTTCTTTTCCGGGCACCCAGTGCCGATTGTGATATTTTTGAAAAATGCCATAAAAATGGCAGAGAAAGCGTCCGAAAGCCATTAAAACATGACAAGAAAAAGAGAATTTTGTTGTAGCTCCGGAACAATTATCTTTTTTCCTCAGTTTTCTTAGAAAATACTAAGAAATTCTGGTTTTTTCTTCAAGAAATATATTTTTTCATAATCCATAAGTGCAATGACTTTTTAGAGCCACTAAATTTTCACCAGTTCTGATGAATTGGTAAAAATGTTTATGATCTGTACGAAAAAACTCGATAACTCGTTTATTTTTTTACAGAAGGAAACTTATAAGAGATGTGTAGCTCAGAATCGAATTCGCAATCACTAGCTTCAACATTTTGATCAATAATTTGGAATCGAATTAATAATAATAACAATAATAATGATGATAATAGTGGTAATAATATTAATCATATTACCAGATCTGTTTTCCCAAACGTCTTTCATTGCAGCCTTTCGGCACATCCTTTACACACATCCTACTTTTGGCCATCTGGCGATTCTTACGATAAAATTTCCGATCGCTAAGTGATATTGGTCTGATGTCTTAGGATCAATTAAAACCCAAAATGAGAAGGATGTAACTCAAAAACGCACCTCAAAACGCTAATAAAAATGTACCTCGGAAATTAAAAAAATGTTCCTCAAAACAGAAACGGCGCTGATCTTCTTCGGTAGTTTCCAGGCGTTAATATAACGTATTTTTCGAGATTGGATTTTTTCCTATCTCACTTGGATTTTCTTATTTCATAGTTAAAAGAAATTCAAGTGATGAAAATTTCGGTGATCCTCCAGATAGAAGTATTTGGCAAGGTTTTAGCCTTTTCGAAGTGTCACTGGTATTTGTTTAGCAACACCACCTCGTCTTTAAAGGTCTCCATCGCTGCTAGACTTCGCTAAGGTACTCTGCTGACTCTTATTCGTCTCTATAGAAATATAGTAATATTAGTACCGAAGAATATTAGTATCTGCGTTTCATCCCTTAGCTGTAAACACCTGGCAGAGCACAACATACGGGTAGGAATAGGAAGGCGAATAAATTTATCGGCCAGAGCATTGCAGCTTAAATTTGCAGTCATTAATTCTGGCTTACTAAGACCTATTTTTACAACTAAGCAAATTTGTTCTCGCTGCGGGATCTGACAAATCCAGAAGTAGTAGCTATTAAAAGAGGCTTCAGTTAGCATCGACAATGAAAATAATGCTTGCACAGATTCAAAAAGTAGTTTTTACTCTGGTCTTTGGTCAGCCACAACCATTTAGTTGGCTGCTGCGTTAGCTTTCAGCCCGTTCTTGACGAAGCCTCTTAGGTCCAACGATGGAGTAGGAGGAGTGTTAATGTGGCCCATATCCTGCATCCGGGAATGTTCCCCTGGAGACCGTCCTGTTCGATGCTTTAACTACTGCCTTAGAACTATAGCTTCAGCTACTAATAATACAAGCCCAAAAATCTGTCATTTGCATCATTCATCCGGGGCCGTGCTAGCTTCTGGCCTAGTCCTCGAGTGTGGTCAATTATTTTGAATGGGCCGAAAGCTCAAAGTTCAGGCTGCAGTGATGACTTGCAGTTTTTGCACAATTTCCTTGGGTATAATTACAGTAATTTTGATAATTGTGGCAATTTGTGTTTTCTCCAAAATGCCGCCTCCGGTAACTTAAAAAGCAATTGCAACAAGAAGCTAAATTCGTTGACCCATTGAGATCCAGTTTATAATTTGATATTTTGTTCAACTACCTGGTTCTTGAGCTATGCAGTTAATTTTCCCAATTTCTTTGACCAACACTACGTCACCTGGTGGGTCAGCCCGTTGGCGATCCTGACATTCGTTTTGTCTTCTGAAGGGATTACCATCTCAGAAATTCTCTCGTGGGATGCACTTGGCATGGCTTCGTAACTTTTGCAATTGCTTTGACCAATGATACATTTCATGGTGGTCAGCTTTCCGCATACTTAATACTACCATTATTTTTGTATTATTATTGTTATCATTACAATTATTATTATTACAAATACTATTATTATTATAATGATAACAACGATTATTACTGCGTTTTTAAGAACCGTGAGATCAAAATTATAAAACTGCTACTAAAATGTTGTTTTATTTCTATTGCTATTCGTATCTACAATTCGTAAAACTGGGAGAATTTGATTTCTTTAGACAGATTGATGTAGCATTTGTAAGTATGCTTGTCCGTTGCTATAACCACTGCAACGCAAAAGGAAATTGGTATGGTTCGTTTTTGATGGATCTGATATTGCAGCCATGGAAAATGTGGATTATTTGTGGGAGAGAGAGGGAGAGTGAGGAATATTAGTATAAAAATGAGGTAAAAGAGGGAGGGGTGACGAGGGAAAAGCAAAGACAGAGGGACACCGCATTTGCCCTTTCAAAGGGGCCCACTAGATCTTCAGTTTTTATTTTTTGAAAAATTAGAAGTATTTTGTTATTTCTTTTTCTCTTTATGATATATTATCATGCGACTTGCGTATTTTCTTCCGGTACGTTTTTGGCCTCAGACTAAATTATTAATCTGCAGTATTACTGGTATTATTGTTGATATCATTACTGTGACGTTATTATTAATATTATTATTACTATTGTATCCTTATTTCTACCTTTTATTGGTCTCCTTGCCGTTGAAGTTTACGTACTGATGATCTGGAAGATACCGTCGAATGAATGCTCCGGGTAGGTAGGTAGGAATTATTATGCATTTTTTGCATCTATGCAATGCAAAAACGCATATTGTTGAGGATTGTCTCTGTGTGGGTGTTTGTCTGTACCGATTTTTCATCCCAAGACCTATGAAAGCCACAAAGCTGAAAATTCGGCAACTTAAATGTGGTAAATTCAGAATTCCCATAACCCTAAATCACCTACTATTCTGAAAATACATCGAATCTGTGCGAAATTTAGATTTCCCTAATGTTGATAATACTCTGAGTAACATCTTCCAGAAGAACTAAAATTATTAGAGCTCGTCAACTGGGCCGTCCATTTGCTAAAACTCATTAGAGCTTGCTGACTTTGAGTAGGTAAATTGATGGCCGGAATTGCTCCTCTTTCCGCTTCTCGATTAGGATTGCCATTCATTAGCATGTGCTGCTTGCGTGTTAATACTGCAGATCGTATTCTATTTGATTTGGCAGGTCATCCTTCAGCAGCCTTAATGAGGACTTTGGAGAAAGATGGAGGCGGACATAGGCTTTTGCTACCATCAGGAAGACAGAAATTTATAAATTTGAATGCAGTTTCGCTTATCAGCTTTAAAATCTGATTTTAACATTTTATGTGTTTTTATAAAAACGTATGCTGATAAGAGACTATCAATCAATGTGTATGCGTGCGCGTAGGTATGTGTGTGTTCAAATTTTGTCACTCACTTTCAATTTAGCAATCAGTGAAACTAGAGAGCTGAATTTTTACAAAGATCTCATCCATACATAGCTCCATAAACATAAAATTACTTCTCACATATGAATACCTGTAAGAAAAGTTGAAAAAGTTTGGCAGAAAGATAATCACGGGAACTAAACAAAATAGCAATCTAAAATTTCACAAAGATTTTCTCCTGAAGACTTTGTTATATTCTGGATCTATTCCACTATGCTAATTTCATTGTATAAAAGACTGTGTGCTGAAAAAATTTTGTTTTTAAAGTATATATCTATGTTCTAGTTAATTTAGTTTTAAACTACGAGA